AAGATACACATGACAGGAGCCTAGCTTAACATTCTCTGAGAGTCTCCCATCCCCTGCCCAGCAGATAATAGAATCAGATGCTAAGACTCACAGCCAAGCACCAGGAGGAGCCCAGAGATTCCTGTGGAAGAGCGGGAGGGAAGGATAGAAGGACCCAAAGGGAACAAGAATGTTGCAAGAAGACTAACAGTCAACTAAACTAGACCCATGGGGTCTTACGGGGACAGAAGCACAAATCAAAGAGCACGCATGGACTGGACCTAGACCCCCACACAGATGTAAACGATGGGCAGCTTGATCTTCATGTGGGCTCCCTAGTAAGTTGAGCGGGTACTGTCTATCACATGGACTTTGTTACCTTTGTTACTTTGTTATCACATTGTCCTATCCAGGCTACCTCGCTTCACTTAGCAGATGAGGAAGAGCTCAGCCCTGATGTGATTTGATATGCAGGGGTAGACTGAAATGGGAGGACAAGGGGAGGTGGGGGAAAAACGGAGGGAGGGAGAATCGAGGAGGAGATCGGGGAGGAGGCTATGATCAGGATATAAAGTAAATATATAAATTAAAAATAATTTTTTTAAAAGGACTAATAATTCTACAGAGATCTCATACTAGTTGTGCTCTGGACAAACTACTTGGTTTGAGGCCTTACTTTCCATATCAATAAAATGAAACATCTGTCTGACCTATCTACTACCATCTTCTTTATACGGTATTAGTAAATATTGAGGAAAACAATATTTGAAACTGTATATTAATTATAAAATATGTTTAAAATTCACACACTAAAAGACTAGACTATACTTTCTGGCTCAATGTGAAAATAATTATATTATTGTGATAATATAATAATTACATTATATTTAATTTAAATGTAGATTTAAACTACATTTTATGGCATGCCTACATTAAAGGGCTGTGGGAAACAGAAGTGGTAGGAATAGGAAATGCCACAGAATTAGGACTACCATCCAGAGTCACATAGCTGCAAGCTGCAGAACCAAACAACAAGGCATTCTTCCTAACATTTTAGCTGAGGCTCTTCCCAGCTTGCAATGCGACCATGTTACTTAGTCACGATAGGGGAACAAATGTGATGTTCCTGGGAGAACAGTAATTAAGTACCTTGGTTCTAGGATCTGCAAAGAACAAAAGTAGTCAATACAGAAGACATAAAAAAAACTTACCCATTCCATTCTCAGGAAACCATAGAAATACCAGAGGTCCAAACAATGAAGTTTTCAATTTTACACATTAACAAAAAAAGAAAGGGAAAAAAAAGGAGTTCAATAGAATAAAAATTCAAAAACACAATAAAAAATATTGAAAAGAGAAATTAAAATTTAGAGGAAAATAAAAAAACAATACAATTGTTTTGTTTTGAGATATTGGGATGAATGAAAGAAAAATCACAGCCTCTTTGTAAGCAAGCCAGAGCCACAGGTAGCCCAACAGCCCAGACATTAAAGGGACAACGTCCCCTTCTCGCCTCTGTGTAGGCAAGCATCCTGCATTGCTCAGGGAAGCCACCCATGAGGGACTTCTTTGTTCCAAGCATGGGCATCAGGGTTAGTTCGTCAAACCGTGCCTTTTTGAGATCTGTTTTGGTGACCTGCTGTAAGACGTTTAGCTATTATACAGCCTGGAAGAAGGTAACAAATGGTGTCTTCCCTGTAAAACTCCAAACACAGCCATTTAATCTATCTAGTTCACTCACATATGAGCTATAGGTAGCTTCTCAAACAGTTAGTGAGATAAACTAACTTTAGATGGCTGAAGGGCACCTGGAGGTTAAGAAGACATGGAGAACATCCGAAGCCAAGACAGACACGGAGGCCAGCTAACAGGAACTGCTAGCTGTGGTCCCTAGCTATGGCAGGGCCAGAATGTCCTCCTGGGACAAAGGAGAAGGCTTTCGATAAAGATCTGAATTCCAAAGAATAAGCACGCACTTAAGCAAGCTGGCGGCGGCCCTAAGCGTGGTACTGCAAGTGTCCACTACAGCGTGCCCCCAAAAGGAAACAAAAGCACTGTCAAGAGAAACAGACAACAGAGGAAAAATAGGGAACGGTGTTTTCTACACTTATCAGGGCTTTCTTCAAAAGTTCCTAGCAGAAAAATCTAGCAGAGGATCACTAATTCCCTAAGAATATAATTTTAGATTATAGTAATTAGTAACTGAGCATATACAACTAAAGGGTCCATTTCCCTAATGGCCACAAAACTTAACCCAGAACATTTTTTGCTTCAAAAAGCCTTCTTTCTCAATTTCTTTTTTAACTACATTTATTGATGTTCTGTCTGTCTGTCTGTCTATCTGCGCACATGCCAGATGTAAGTGGAGGACAGGGGAAACTCATGGGAGTTAGGTCTCTCCTTCCACCATGTGAGGCCTGGTGGTTGAACGCCCAGCATCAGGGTTGGGAGCAAGCACCTTTACATGCTGAGTCATCTTACCAGACTCTTGTTTCATGTTTATTAAATGTAACCTTCTCATTTTATTCCTGATGATAAAGCAAGATTCTCTCCCCCCACTCTGGTAATTATAATGTTTTCCTTTTGAAAACATTACCCTGAAATATCTTAAAAACAAACAAATAACAACAACAAAAAACCTAGCCCAGCCCAGCATGGTGGTGCATGCCTTTAATCTCAGTACTCAAGAGGCAGAGGCAGGTGGATCTCTGTGAGTTTGAGGCCAGCCTGGTCTACAAATTGACTTAAAAACAATGGAGCAGGAACTAGAGGCATAACCCAGTGCTGAGCAGTGCCTGCTGCTCTTACCAAAGGCTCAGCAGCTCCCACTACCCAGGTCAGGTCATGCAGCTAAAATGGACCTGTAACTCCAGTTTGGGGGAAAATATGACACCTCTGGCTTCTGAAGGAACCTATACTCAAGTGCACATACTCACACACAGACACATTCACATAGCAATATAATTAAAAATTATTTAAAAATCACTTATTAAAAAAACAAAACAAAAGAATGGGCAAGGCTGGGAGATGGCTCAGCCTATCAGGAGCTTGTGTACAAGCAGGAGGAGCTGAGCTTCAGCCCCAGCGTCTACACTAAAGGGCTGTCAGAAGCAGTCCCATTGCAGGAGAGGCAGAGACAGGAGGATGCCTACAACTGGCTGGCTGGCCAGTCTCACACAATTGGTATGCTCCAGGTTAAGAGAGAAAGTCTCAAAAAATAAGTCACAAGGCAATGATGGAAGATACTTAATACACCACAGCTACAACCTCTGTTCTACACACAGGCACACATGCACGAACTCATGTGCATTTGCACACACAAACAGCTACATGTAAATACACGAATAAATAAAAAGAATGTACTTTTTTTAAAAACCTAATGAATTCATAAGGCAGCTAGTGATCATGATGAGGGGAGGAAGCGATGTAGCAGCAGCAGCCTCTGCTTTTCATGGACCACGACATGTTCCTGCACAACAGTCATGTGAGGCAGAGCACATCTTTTCACCTCCAGTTCACAGGCAGGGAGAGAATAAATACACAAAGAGATGAATAATTTGTTCGCCGTCTAATAACCAAGCCAGGACAAAGCCCATGTCTGACTCCAGACCACTAACACAACAGAAGTCCTCACTAAGACAGAGAACACAGTGTGGGAACACTCCCTTCTCTGGAGGGATGCGGGCACCACGGCTTCACTTCCAATCGCAAAGTCCTCGAGATGCCCGCACTGTCTATAACTCCAAGCTGTGCCCACACAGGATTAAATGCTGTCAAGTCCTGCCATGTTCCAGGAAGTGGCTCAAGGCCACAGCGACATGAATGACAGAAGAAATGAGAATCGTCTGCATCATCACGTGGTATTTGCTTCACGATGGCCACCTACCGTATCAAAATTCCAAGACAGGCAGGCTTCGAGCACCGGAACTTGGTCAGCTCAAAGTGAATCCTCCAAACAGTCTTTATAGGTAATGTTTTAACTATTCAAAAGAGATTTTTCTCCAATTTCTCTCTAAAACTATACTTTATTCTCAAAATGAACATTAAAAACTCAAGTTTGTCATAAAGTTAAAAATAACTTAAAATAGAACGTAAATCAAATTGACTTTTCAGATTTAACCAAAGTGGTCACAGCCATAATGACTATAATAAAAATGACAGAAAAAAAACTAAAATTGTCAAAGACATAATTGATGATGAAAACAAACGTAAAATTATGGCACACTTCACCCTGGCCACCAAAAACTCTTGATGAAAGCGCAGCCCTATAATTCCTCAGAGTGAATTCTCTAAATTAAAATACTTCATGCAGAACAGAAATTAAACAATGAATCAAAGAACACTGCTGTACAGAGGTGCGCTTATAAATATACCTACAAAAAAATGAAACAATTACATTTTTCCATGTAAAAACCAAGTCAACCGTAATGTTTCACAGGAGGCTGAGCTGGTGTTTTTTTCTGTTGCTTCGATCTTGGATAGCCACTTCCTGGAACTCCCTCAGGATCCAGTGTGACTGGGTGCAATGTAATTAGCCCCACCAAACTGGAAGGCGCTCTCCATGGCACAATACCAGCTCCTCCACTCAACCACACCACTGACTTCCGTGATAAATTTCATCCAACCCAATTGAAATGCCACTGTGCATTTTATTTTAAATGCTTTATTTGGCCAGCTGTTTTATTTAAATATTGACCAGAAGTGGTACCAGTGCATTCTTTTTCCATCCAGCATTAATCTTAGTAAACTTAGCTCTATTGGAATGTCTTAACTGCTGAAAAGAAGGCAAAAGTCAGCAAACACACAATTGCATTTGGCCACCCTCAGCACATCATTTTATTTCCTCCCTCTCACTGCTAACTACTGCTCAGCACTTTTGCCTATGAGGGGGGACGAGCAGGTGGTTAAGGAAGTTGTGCTGTCAGCTGTATCTTTAATCCAAGTGTTTAAATCTCTGAATAAAAGAAAAATCAATGTGGTAAAGGCAATGTTTGTCAAGGCCATGTAATAAATACACTTACCTTTACAGACTGTTCTCAGTGGAGTTCCCTTCTTTGCTGGGCCTTCAAAGCTACAAAGAGATAAAAACGGAAGACGTTTGAGACTAAAACACCAAATGTTTCCTTTTCGTGTTTCTCAACAGAATTTCCATATGCTGTGGTATGTGATGCTGGCTAGACATATCATTGATGAAAGTTCTGCCTCACACCTGCCCGAAAGGCCACCCAGAGATATAGACGGCTTTAGTTTCAATGTCTCCCAATGCTTCCTATGTCAAAATTTAACTTCTATCACAAGGCATGAAGAGAATGAAAACGTTATCTGAATCCGGTTTTAGTGGAAGACATTGAGAAACCATTAGGTGCAAATAAGATCACTGGGTTAAAGGCTTCAGGATTGAATTTTGAATCCTGATAACTTCATATAGAGAAGAAAGAGATCAGATAGCCATGATCAGAACAGAGAGAGAGAGAGAGAGAGAAATTACAAACAGAGAATGATCCATGAGATATACAAAATTGTATATATATATAAATACACACATATCTAACACACCCTGTCTCCTAGTATGTGGTGATTCACAAAACCGTCTTGGTGTTCTGCCATGTAAATGCTACTGCCAAATGTAGCCCCTAAACCTTGCACCTTCAGAACCACTATCCAAATAAACCTCCTAGATCTATATAACTGACCCATCTGCTCCATGGTATTATTGGCAATGAAAACAGGCTAACACAGTCACAAACTGGAACCAGCACATGGTTCTTCAGAACTGCACCCTGCAGACCTCACACAATCTACAGGCAAACCATTTAGGATCTGAACACTTCGGCAGTGAATGGCTTATAAACTGTGGGGTGAAAATCCCATTAAACATCAGGACGGCACTTGTTTTCTGAGCAAGCATTTATGTTCTTAGTCCTGGTATCACCTTTTTCCTACGGCTGGTTTCTGCTTCCCACGAGACAACATTATTCCAGTCATACAAGATACATAAGCCTGGAGTTCAGCTTAGCATTGTTGTTCATGAGAAGGGGTGGCAGAGGCCTAGCCATGAACAGTCACCCTTTCTCCAGAAAGAATGCAGCCTTCTTTGGGAGAAACCCACAGGAAAACAGAAGCTATAACTTCATTTCAAATCAAGTCTTTACTTGATAACTTCTCTGCTTACCAAATACACACTTGCCACATTCTAGTCAATGAGAGCTATGAAAGCAACTGCAAAATGACAACTGTCAAGAAACAATGGTGACTGAAGGCTTCAGGCTGATTATACCACCCAACATTACTCATAGAGCTGTTCTATGAAATTATTGTAACGTGTTTCTTCTATTTTTTGTAGCTAGGTTCCCATTCATCCTAAAGCTCCAAGAGCTGAGAATGTTAACTACTGATCATTTTGTTGTTGTTGTTCAATATTCTAAGTAATGGCTTTAGATCTTACTGGATTATTCCTGTCCATATTCCTTAATTCCACCAAACAAGCCTTTATCCCAAACAAATGACCACCGAAGAATAGGCCATAGTCACAGGCAATGCGATAAAACTTGGAATATTAACGCAGATCCTTCCATAGAAAAGAATTAAAATTTTCTCATGCCCCTCTTAGTTCCATGGAACACAATAAGGTTAGAAAAAGCATAATTTGGGAAAAAAATGAAATTTTATAATTTTTGTGAAGTGTGAGAGATTTATGGTCTAAAATTCTTTCCACTTCGAATACATAGAGATGCTAAGCAAAATAAAGAATTTAAAATACAAAAGAGAAAGACCAATATGAAAATACGATGTATATAAACTTCCTAAAATGAAAGTTATGAGTCTCTTTGAAAGTACATCAAAATTATATGATAAATAATAAACAATCTAAATTTAGATGCAGACAAATAAAACTACAGACTATCAGAAGCAGTCCTAAATTCAATCACCAAAGAAAAACAAAAAGACATGTAAAAATAGTGTGTTACCAGTCATAAAAATAAAGGCAAGGTAGTGATGGTGTAACATGATCAAAGAGCTCAGAGTTAAAAAAATTCAACAAACTACACTTATGCCAACCACATTATTCACAAATGGTAGGAAAATAGGGACATTAATCAGATTTTAAAAATGTTTGTCTGTTTATAGTAGTTCACTTTTGCAGAAAAAATACTTAAAGATGTAGTTGAGTACAGAGAAAACCATCTCAGAAGGAAAGAGTGAGGAATAGGAAGCCATGGTGACCAGAGAAACTCCACTGAGCTAGATAATCAATATTGAATATTAATTATAACGCAGAATGTAAAGAAATAATAATCTTAATTCTGGTTGAAAAAAAAGGAGGGGGAAACCAGTGATATGCCTTAGTCAAAATTACTATTGTGATAAAAAACAATGATCAAAAACAACTTGGGGAAGATGCTTGAATTTCATTCAGAAGAGGAAATAAAAGAGACATCTGAAGTAGATGGAGGGAGGGAGCTGGGTGGGAAAGGGAGTGGGGAGGAGAACTGGAGTGGGGATAAGATGTGAGGAGGGGGTAGGTTGGGAGGAGGACCCAGAGAGAGAATGGAAATCAGTGGGGGAGGAGCATCTCCGGGAGTCTATGGGGGTGAACCTAACTGAGACTCCTAGCCACAGGGTGGGTATGAGATTGGGGAGATGGATCCTGGAGCCACCACACCCACACCCACACACCCCCCACCCCACCCCCGGTAGCCAGGTGGGACTTCCAGTGGAGGGAGAGAATACCCACCCACACATAAGACCTTCTACAAAGGCACCTTTGGCCACATAATTGCTTATGGTCTGTCTCTGAGATTAGCTAAAGTTTGTGCTATAACACATGAGGCTTCTCCTTGTGGCTTGAGGCTCCTCAAAATACAGATGTGAGATTCCAAAGGTGTGTGTCCCAAGACAGAGCCAGGCAAAAGTTACACCTTTTAGAACAGAGGATCAAAAACCACACAATCCTTTCAGCACCCCACAGCCCCCCACCCCCGCAAAGACACACACACCTCCCAGAGGAAGGCCTGTCCATCACACTGTAAAATCACCTGGGTGGAGAACCTGCCTGGGGCAAGCACACTGGGGAGCACAATGGTCCTCACATTCAGTAGCAAACAAGCAGTGAGTGATCTCTTCAAATGGGTCTTCAAATGGGGCAAGAACTGTAAAGTGAGGTTTTCAAAATCTGCTTGAAGGGGCTGGAGAGCACATGCCTGCCAACAAGCATGACACCCTGAGTTTGCGCCTTGAGCCTCCACAATGGAAGGAGAGAACCAGCCAATACTGCAGGTCATCTTCTGACTTCCACAAGCATGCCGAGATATACACACGCGTGCCCACGCATTACACATGTATGCACAAATAAATAAATAAATAAATGACTTTTTTAGAGAAGTAGGCTTTAAAATTAGTCTTCATGGCAGCTTCCCTTTAGAGACCAGTGGTGAGAGATTGTCTTAAACAGCTTTGGTCTCCCTGCAATGTCTTGTGATGGACATGCATGCTTTTATCCTAAAATACAGTGTTCAGTGTGCTTATATTCTCTGGCCTTAATCAGACGTTATGTCATTTACAACCTTTACCCATTATTGTTGAAACCTGCTTGCTTTATGCTTTGTAAGCCCCAGATTTTATCCCAACTCCATAGCCATTCAATAAAATACTTGATAACACAAACCCAAATGCATCCTATGTACAGCCTTTATGACATTTTTAGTGCCTGAAAATTAATATGTGTGTGTGTGTGTGTCAAGCAGGAGCCAGTCACAACCCAAAAGCTCTTGCTCCCATGCCCAAAATACCTATCTCTAGACAAAAGTCAGGAATCGCCTCTCAAAATTCTCCTTCTCTTTGTTTGACTCCCCAGTCCAAAGACCTGCACTTGCACCACCAGGCAAACACTTCCCCCTCCAGCTGCAAGGCTGCTCTACCCACTACTCACCCCAGCCTAAACTCACCACACTCAGTTCTAGAGCAGACAGCATCTACACCCTTCAGATGACCTTCTGCAAGACAGAAATTAGATTTAAATGAATCCAAATAGGTTTGGGCTTCAGCTGCTCCTCAAAGAAATAAACATGGAACCAAAGCTGAACAAGCCAATAACAGACTGATTTATCTCAGTGGTTTCTCACAGCTTTACAAACCCATCAGTCCATGGCCCAGTCCCAAATTCCTTAAAAACTGATCTGAATTTAAAGAAATAGCCTTCCCAAGTATACAGACAGGCTTACTTGAAAGCTATTTGTAAGAACCATCCAGGTGCTCCTTACATAAGGCGAGGTGGCCTGGAACTGAGGCGACGTTTGCTCTGCTGTCGCATTCTGAAGCTTCACCTGACTTAACTGTCATGTGGAGGGATTGGTTATTGACCTTTAAGTCTGTAACAATTATCTACATAGCTAGGAAAGAGACTGTGCATTCAGGTACAACAGTGAAGACACTGAATAAATTCAGTGCTCATTTTCATTTTTATGCTACATTCACTGAGCTCTTCTGCAGACAAATTACTGCAACAGTCTCTCAAATGATAGCCAATTTTCAACTAAGAGAAGATTCCTAAACCACCTTCTAAAACCTTTTTCTACATATCAGTAAGAACCAGGCAGCTGGAAAACAGGCCTGGTTAAACCACCTGATGATAAATGAACATTTTTTAAATACATAAAATTCTTTGACAATCCACAGAGTGATTTAAAGACTCACAAGAAATAACAGCAAGACCCCCAAACCTGATGTTTTCTCCAGTATAGTCTTAGAAATTGTATTTGAATATATGTATACACTCAGTGTGAGTGTATATGAGCCTTTGTGAAACTTAGGCAGACTTTAGGGTGCAGAATAACCCTCACCTTTGTGATTTACCTTATGGTGTAAAAGTAAGTGAAAGCCCTTCCTCAGTCCTTAACTTCAAGAATGATTTGTTCTACGTTGTGGCTATGTCTTCTAGAAGAGCATCTAACAAGGAACAGGCATTGGGCAAAGCTTGCTTAATTACAGGGTATGTTTTTTGCTACTGCGAGTATGCAATGATTTGGAATTCTATGGTTGCTTTTTGGATTTGTGGTTTTGCCAATTCTATTT